TGGAAACACTCAACTAGCTGCACGGAGATTGGCAAGGATAGACTTTGATCAGCCACAAAACTCATAAACACGCTTAGTTTTCCTATTGCTTAAACCTTATACTGACTTGTCAAATATGATTTTGCCAACTGTTTGGGGCTTAAAGGATTCTTTTGCAATTCATTCGTTTGTGCAGCTTAAATCAATGACTTCGTTCCACGTTGAAATTTGAGCATGTTAGTCGTCAAGAAATAACTTAAACACCCACTCACCCCTGACAAGGGAACAGGTGGCTGATGAAAAAGGTGATATGGCAATCCTTGTTCTAGATGATGCTTACATCTATGTATAAAATAATAATAACTATGCATTCCAATGAAGTTACAGGATGCATAAACATCCGCCTTTGGATTATTACAGCCTTAAACAAAAAATCTTATGCTCGTGTACATGTTTCTGAAGATGGATTGTGTGATATCTGCAACAGCAAAACAACTTCGTTGTGCTTATAAGTCGTTGTTTGTCGATTTACTATTATATTAGCCTAACATGCTTCCATACACAAGCACCGTTTGTTCAGTATAACAGGATTAGATTACCACCGACATGTGGCGACATCTGTTGCGTAATATTCGATATATAAATTTAGATTTTTCTTATTATAAGATAGATTTATTACTTATTAACATAAAACTGTAAATTTATATTATTTCATTTCGATTGAGAATAGAAAAACATTAGTTTTATGAATCTCTGCGAATTCCTAGTCAGAATTAAGCGTTTTTTTCCCCTTTAAATATATAACTGACCAGAAGTGCTTTTGTAGGTTAGTTGTTCATTAGTTTTCATAACGATAAATTATTAAGATTTTAAGCTTATAGTGCACGATAATAACTGTTTCATTACAAATATCTGTATAAAACAACTATACTAATAAAAGGTTAAAAAATAACTTCGAAAAAATAGCTGTTATCAGGATTTATTACGTTTAGGACAAAATAGTTAACTACTATTCTCGGTATTAAAATATTTAAAAACATAAAATAATCTTTCACAATTTTCGACATTTTCACAAGCGTACGCTTTTTTTGTATTTCCCATAACCCCCCGAAAGCGTACACATAAAATGTTTTTGTTTTGAAACAGGTCTTATTGGATAGTAGACATTATAAATAGGCCACTGAGAAAAGGGAAGGAGTGTTTAAATCCACACAATTGGTCGAAATTACTGCTGGTGAATGCTTTAGTTATTTATTGGTGACAAATGGCGACCTATAGATGTTTTTCGAAAAGCATACACGTGTTCCTCCTCATCAATGTATGTTTGATACGCTCGTGAAAATGACGAAATGTTTCAACGACCCCTAAATATAATCTATCACAAAAAAAAAAACTTTTTTTGGTACAAGAGGAAAGTACTTGTGATAAAAACTTAGAGAAGTTAACTTATCTCTCAAGGCAAATTACAATCAAAGTCGATCGCCATCTCCCTAATTACCACCGTCTGTTAGACATTTCATAGTTTAAAAACATTTCACAAGAGAAAGAATATTTTTAATTCGCATATTATAACATTTGTAGATTAAAAACTCAGTCCTGAGTCATATATATATATATACGTGTGTGTATATATGCATATATATTTATGTATTGTGCTTAACGAGTATTTTTTAACAATTAAGAATGAGTCCAAGTTACGAGAATATTACGACTATTACCTTCCATGTAACGAAGTAAATGATTAATCAAATTTCAACACTTATTTATTTTGGATATTCGTACAAAGCTACACAAGAGATACCTGCTAAACTAGTGGGACGGAAGCCAGTTAACAGCACCCCACGACCAACACTTCGAGATACTTATTGAAATAGTAGGCATTGATTTTCACAGGTATAACACACCCAAGGCCCAATATGCTATATCACATAAAATATTACGTTTTTATATTAAATGTTTGATACGAGTTCCACAGTTCTGTTTAATAACACTAAAAATAACATTACATAGTAATACCAGAGTATTAACATTAATAAAATTAATAACAATCAGATATGTAAAGAATCAACATTACAAAAATTGTACAGCATACAAAGGTATTACAGATATATCAACAAACTTTCTAAAATAATTATGCTTCAGAAATAATCTTCAGGTGACCAGTTTACAAACGATACAACAAAAAAACTTTCATTCACAATACTAAACTACGAAAAAAGTATTATGAGCTCAGTTAGCACAACTGACCAGATTCATTCAATAGATCAAATTTCTGCTTAGCACCAACTATTACCAGCAACCCACAATCTCAAAATACTGTTTCTGTTAATAAAAGAATGCCACAAAATTAAAGTATACTAAATACGCAAAACCGCACTTCAAATACAAACAACGATAACTACTTATTTCATCATTCATTAGACAAGGTGTGAAAAGACCTAATTTGGCACATAAAATCAACATGCTCTGTCCAAAGCTTAGATGTTGAAGAAAAGTAGATCTAGATAACATAAAAAATGCACATTTCAAATACCTTTACACCAAATAACACCAGAATGGAAGAGGAAAAACCTGCTTTTTAAATACATATCCACAGTAGAACTAATACAACTAAAGAGTTTGTTTAGGTGCAAGGATTCAATTTATTACAAGAAACACATAGTAGCAAACAAGCTCATTTTTAGAGAGGAAATACCTAGGTATTCAGTCAACAAACACACACTAGAAACATATAATTCTATCAGGTATGAAAGCAGCATTCTATATAACCAGAGAAAACAAATAAAACAGGTATAAATTGTCTTTATGAAACACCTAAGCCCCCCCCCCCTTGACCTCTAACCTATTACCTTCAAAAGTTAATCAGGTCTAGTACTTTGTATGCAGTACCTTTTGTATAAGTTTGGTCAAAATTCATCCATTCAATCTTAAGATATCCTATCCACAAAATCAGAACAAATGGACGGACAGGGGAAAAAACCAACATGCCCCACTCTGCTTTGCAATGAGAGAATAATAAAATTATTATGATACCTAACATAAGGTAACATTTAAGCAAGTAAATCATAGTGTATTTATACATTAAGTGAAACAAGTACCTCAAAAAATATTCTCAACACAATTCTGAAGTTGTTTTTACATTTTTGTCAGACTGTCAGTAAACAACAGTGGAAGTGTTCTTAATTCCAGATTGCTGTGAATGGCTACAAGAAAGCTCATGTTGAAGCACTAATTTAGAGTCTCATATCCAGTAAGTTTCAGGGCATGACAGAAAATGGTACATTCTATACGATATTAGTGTCATACTCTACAAGTGCATGAAATTATTTAACATTTAGTTCATAAATGTAATTATCTGGGTAACTACAAACAATAATAATATTTGTTGCTTCAGAATACTGATATCCCTGGAAAGCTTCAGAAGACATCAACATACCGTAAGTGTACTAGTTTTGAATATAAGTGAAGCTGTGGGTAAAACAGCAGTGAACAATGTGGAAACTTCCAACATAACAACTATCAATTTCTGACACAAGTTTTATGATCATTGTATAATAGAAAAGTTAAGCCTACTTCAAACAATAACATCAAACACAATCACTAGTTTCAAAAAGGTTAGGTAGAAGTTTTAAAACTCTACATGTGAAGATTGGTGTGAGGACTGGAAATACACAATTATTTTTTATTTACTACACAACTTGAAATATATCTATTTATTAAAGGATATATATATATATATAATACCTCAACTCTATTCTTTTTCAAAACTATGTTTCCTTTTGTTTTACATACTTGTTAGGTTCTTAAAGTAACATACTAAGAGTCATTGAAATGTTTCTAATCATTGCATCATATAACATGTCAGAACTATATGGAAAACAATTTGTAAATACAACTAAAGTATTTTAAAAGAGTGAGACTACCTAAATCATTGATAAGAAATACTTCTTGTTATTACAGCTATATTTCAACCATCCTATTTGCAACCATCATCGGGCTTACGAGTAAAATTCCAAAATATGCATTTAAATACGGAATCATGCATTCTGTGATTGCATTTATGAAAATGTAACACAAAATAAAGTCCTATCAATGATGTAAGTAGTTTCACTCTTTTAGAAATATAATTCCTCTTGACTTTGAAAAATATATGTGACAACTAAAGTAATAAATAAAAACTAACAAAAACTGAAGTTTCAAAAACGACTAGCTAATACAAAAACAATAAAAATAAAATGAGACGGAGAATCTTGTACGTAAAAAGCTTTTCATGCAGAACATCACTCTCAAAAGATATATATAATTAAATTATCATATCACAACAATCCAGCTCTCTAGCATTATTTCTTGGATACAGCATACTAAAGCACTGATAACAAACTATTTAACACTATTCAACTTAATCTTTATGGTGACACTTCACTCTGAAAAGTTGGATTCCATTGCTGAGTAACTCTGATGAAAGTGGTACGTCGAGGAAGTTCCTTGAGTTTGGAAGCACCAGTGTACGTACAGGCAGATCTTAGTCCTCCCAAGATATCAAGGACTGTATGCTCTACATCTCCTTTGTAAGGAACTTCAACGGTTTTCCCTTCAGAGGCTCTAAAAACCCAATGATAAATTTTATTGTCTATTAAAATTCAAAATTAGAAAGACAGTAATACTGGAGGAAACAAAAGGATGACAATTACCAATTACCTCAAAATATTACTCAAATTAAGAGAATTTAATTTTTCTAAACAAGTTGCCACTGTGTTTACTACATGA